TGGTACTTAGTCACTTGATGAGGCAATATGTTTAAGGACCCTCCCAACTTTATTCTATTTAGAAGACACCGAAAGTAGTTTTCATTGTCAATTTGTATTTAAACTATGTCTCTCATTTCCTCTTAATAATGAGTTATTAAGAAAAAATATCTACTTGATTTCTTTTCCTCTTGTTAGTTAGCATAGAAGTTAAGAGCTCAGATTTGAGCAATACTGTTTGGTTTGAATCCTGGCCCAACCACCTAGGAGCTGTGTGACATTGGGCAAGTTACCTGACCTCTCTGGGCCTCTTCCCTCCATATTATAAGAATAGCACCTATGTCATTAGATTAATACGAGGACTAAACGGATTAAATTTGTAAAACACTTAGAACAATGCCTAGGATGTAACACCCGCTTTATCTTTGTTGAATAAACAAAATAAATCATATTTCAAACTTTGAAGAACTTTCATTATGTAAATTAAGCACTTTTATTCACCTGTTAAACACAACGCTCGTCTTTTCGTTTATAATATTTTTAGCTACCTTTTCATTTGAAAACAAACTATTTCCCCAGATCCAAGTTAAGCTTAGAATGGTGCCACCCCGTGATTCAGTGAGACCTGTCCCAAAGCAGACATAAACAGTTAAGTAAATTGCACACTTGTGTTATCTTTCCACCTAAAAAGCACCCCTTTACGTTCTTTGGCACAAAAATCCAGAATGTCCTTATCAACACCCGTTGATTAGTCTAAAGCAACCCCCTGTCCATAGAAAGAATCCTCCAAGTAGAACATGTGAGAACATGGCCTTCTTTTTTACCCTCTCTGTGATCAGCAATCAAAGATTTCATTCCTGGCCTTTGTCCTGACTTTGTCAACATGACTCACTCTGCATAGTGTACGTGAATCTCCATATTAGAAAATTTTATTTGAATTTCCATATTAGGCAAGTCTGATCAATTAACACAAAGTGCCATTTCAATCCCAGGCTTTTTTTTTTTTCTTCTTCTTCTCAGAAGTGACCAAGAAGAAACGTGGAAAACAATTCTTTCTCTTTTTGCATAGAAACTACTAACATTTTAACAAACTGACTTGTGCGGAACATGCACATAATAAAGTGATTTTTTTCAACTGAAAGTGAAGATTTCCTTTGCATCAAAATATAAGGACAATTTAGCTGACTCCAAGAAAATGAATAAAACTATGATCATGATAATTGAATTATTGAGCAAGAAAAATCCGTTACACAAAGACCAGAAGACGGAGTGGGAGAGAAAGGTCTGTAATGGTTGGCTGCTAAAGGACATTTTTACGCACATGCCAGCACTAAGTGCTCTTCGCGATGAATAAACCATATGTCCATTTTTATATGCTTCCTTTCACTAAGATCCTGAGACTTCACAATATTCCCTTTGTCCCAGTCCCTGCCTTGTCTTCCCCCTCCCTCGGTTCCCCCATCCCTAACTTCACCTCCTTGGGCAAACAATATTTGTGCCCTAGCTACCAACTTGAACATCTGCTACCTTTAAAAAAAAAAAAAA